TAAAGTATTATAACTTTTTTATTTCTAATACGATTTTATAAAAGATATATTTTCAAATCATACATTATTTTTTTATCTTTATATGACACCAATATTGCATATATAAAATAACAAAAAAATATAGAATTCCAATTGCGGTTGATTTCCAGACCCAAATTTTTCTAAAAGCATTGCTAAAATTAAGATTTATGGTTATTTTAGTTTACAACTTTTGTTTCTTACAAATATGTTTGAAGTATCACAAAAATATATATAAACTTCAATTTTTTTGGTTTTTATGTCAAAATGTTTGACTTTTTCAATCATCATAAATATTCACAACAAATGATGTATAATAATAAAAGTAAGACTTATATGTAGAAACTAGTAAGATTCCTAATTAATTTTTTTTGCTAAGTGAATATATTGATTGTGCTGGATTGTAATAAAAATTGAATTGACTGAGCCAAAATATAGAAATTAGTAAGAAATTTGATTTATTAACGGATAGAGTTGCGGTTAACTTAAGTAAAACATTAAACATATCCCTTAAAAAAGACAAAGAAGAAGAGCAATAGAGAAAGGATAAATAACAAGGCATAATATTTCCCACTTATGTGTGATTTTGGAAGTACGTTAATTATGAAATAATATGTTTCTTTAATATGTAGTCTTTTGCTTATATTATTTATTAAATTTATATTAAATAGAGTTAAATTGGGACCCGCGCGTGACTCTATTTTTTACGGTCCGCCACTGGGTACTGCTAGGGCCTATTGATTTGTTTGTTTGTCATTTTTGTGATATACTCCGTACTATAATACTTTTTCAATTGAAAAAGTATCAACCTTCAATAAAGTAAATTCGTTGTATTATTCCTATCGATCTGTTGTTGTTATTTTTGTTGTACTCCGTACTATAATACTTTTTCAATTGAAAAAGTATCAACCTTCAATAAAGTAAATTCTTTGTATTATTCCTATTGATCTGTTAGTTGCTATTTTTGTTATACTTCGTACTATAATACTTTTTTAATTGAAAAAGTATTAACCCTCAATAACGTAAGTTCTTTGTATTGGAATCTTTTAATTTGCTTTTTGTCCAACGAAAATTCTTACTCCTTTGGTGTTTTCTTGGACTATTGATTCTCGGATATTTAATGTAGGTAGATTCTATGGTACCCATAAGGTACCATACCTTTGTCCACATGGACCAATGAGAATGTAGTAGTTGAATTATTTAAATCTAAATGAAAAATGATAAAGTGATGTGGTCCAATCAAATCAATGATAGGTACGGTACCCCATATTTTAGAAAGGTACCGGAGTTGTCACCTTTAATTTATAGTACTCCGTAAATCATGCAGCACTCCTAAATTCTGTTTGAAGGATCTGATGTCTACTCCATAGTAGTTTTGATTAGGGGTGGACCGGACATAAAAACTGAATCGAACCGGTACCAAATCGGACTGTAATGGTTCCGAATTGATTACCGAGTATTACAATGATTCTATAAAATTTTATTCCGACCCGAAACCGTGTCGTTTCAAATGGGTATGAGACCGGTCCTAGATTTTGAAAACCGAAAAATACCGAACCGAAACGTTTAAAAAAACATTTGAGATTTTTATATTTTTTCCATAGCAATAATTCTCTTTTATGGACCAACAATTTTAAAGTCCAATTCAAGCAAACGTTTGTCATATTATCGGGACTAAACGAATTTCAACCTCAAATAAAATTTGTATCTTCAAAACACCAATTTCAAATTTTAGAACAAAAATCCAAAAATTACTACTTAAAAATTACCACCTAAAAACTACAACTAACGTAAATTAAGTGTGAACGCTGGCCACAAAGTCATGGCCACAAACAGGGCCGGTCCTGATATTTTATGGGCCCGGGGCGATTGAAAAAAGAAGATTCTTAAAATGTTAATAAATATATTGCGAAAGTTTAACTTTATATACTCAAATTTCAACATACAAAGTAATGTAAGTCTTTCATCAAAGCCTTAATATAAACTAAACGAATAAAAATTATATTAAAAAATAAAAAATAAAACCAGAGAATTACTTGTGAAATTGAAATTTCAAATTTGGAAGATAATTTTGAGAAAATTAGGAGAGTGTTGATTGCTGAGCAAAACGAATTAAAGTCCAAAGATGAAACCTTGAAATTAGGCCTGCCTAACGGGAAATGATGTCAGACCGGGGCCATTTAAGGCCCTTCCCGGTAGAATTATTTCATGAAATTTTTTAAATATATTTTTCATGAAATCTTTAATATCTCCACAAAGTTTCGGATTAAAATTCAACCTGAAAGTCAGTTAAAAAATTATTGAAAGATAGTGCGCATTATTTATATACACAAAGCGCAGTGTGTTTTAATATTTTATTTAACTGACTTCCCGGTTGATTTTTAAACTAAAATTTTGTGAATGTAATTTACACTTGATGAAAAATACTCTAAAAAAGATTCATAAAAAAATTCTGCCATAAAGGGCCCCAAATGACCTCGGTCTGATATATATTTATCCATTTATATATAATTATGGGCCCCTATAAATGTTGGGCCCGGGGCACAAGCCCGGCCTGCCCTTGTCCAGGGCCGGCCCTGGCCACAAAGTCATGCATGGTATATACTAGTACTGGCCACGTTCTCTTTTAATTGCAACGTTGGGCTTTTTGCACTATTCACATAATCTAGTTTGACTATATTTTATTAATTAATGTATTATAAATTAAATTTTTAAAAAAATATTTTTAAATTCCTCTCATTTTGAATTTTCAGAATTTGATTTTTTAATTTTTTTTACTCATAAGGAATCAAAGATATTAGTGGTCAAACTTGTGCGTTGGCAAACATGAAAAGTAGACCGTTGCAATTAAAAAGGAACGGAGAAAGTATATGATATATATGTACAATTTACTACTCCGTATAACAGATAATTATATTTGCCAAGTGCATGAGTTATGAAAACTACCACTAACGGATGTACTAGCTGTGAAGTGTGAACGCTACAATACCGGCCATAAAGTCTACAATTTACTATGAGAACAGAAAATTCATACGTAGCATTTGCACTTTGAAAGCAAAAAAAAAAAGTAGAAAATTTTCCTAAGTGAGTTATGAATTCTTGGAGTCATGCACAAATATATGTTATCAAAATTTTGCAACGGACCAAGAACGGCGGTCAGTCTGGTGGTGGTGGAGCAGTTTGATGTTGGCGACGAACCAAGAACGGCGGTGGCGATTGACATATAATATTCCCATAATGCACTCATATAATTAAGTAAAATCTGCAATTCTGCATGCATAATAGTACATGCTCGAGGTTTTTCCTTAAACAAGACTGAATTTAAGCCAATTTCCAAAGAAGTGATCACTTTTACATAAGAATAAATATGTAACTAACAAGGTCATCTTTCAAACAAAAAACGTGACTTTTAGTTCACAATAAAATTTTCATGTCATTGCTAGATTTTCATGTCACTAAGAGTATGTTTGGTTCAAGGAATGTCAGATAACTATGGGAATGTTAGATTACTGGGTATGTTAGATAGATGAGAATGTGATTAATGTATAGCCTATTTGTGTTTGGTTACGATTAAGGAATATCACATTAAGTTGTTTGGTTGAATGATATCTTTTATTGCATATTTGGTGAATTACTTGAATGTCCTTTATATATTTGTCTCTTAACACATTAAACTTATCAATTATTAGAAAATGTATTTCATGTTTTAATTTTTTTTCTCAATTTTCAATTGTAGTTCATGTTTCAAATAAATACATAGTATACTTTAAGTTTTTATATGTAGCACTTCTTGAATTAATTTTTAGACATGAATTAGAAAAATGTACCCGGCCCGACCCGTTACCCTGGCGGGTAGACCGCCCCGAACCGGTACTGGTCAACAGCCGTTCCGGTCCCGGGCTTCATTCCCAAAAAGCCAAGCCCATCCGGGCCCGACCCGGAATCGGACTGGGCTCGGTCCACATCTAGATATTTCGATTAATGAAGCATAGGTTTTTTTTGGAAGAAAATTAATAAGCCATCAGGAATCTAACATAACCTAAGGCATTGGTGGGTTTGACATGCCTGGTAATGTGATCACCTTTTCCACTTTTGGGAATGTAACATTCCCAAAAGAAAAAATCAAACCCGCGAACCAAACACAGGTATCTCACATTCCGGGCATGAGATTCCGCCATGCATAAGATATCACCTTCAACCAAACACTCCCTAAGAGATGTGAGTGCCATATTTTTCGTAACTCATGTTGGTTCTTTATATTATTCCTATTGATTTGTTTGTTTGTCATTTTTGTGATACTCCGTACTATAATACTTTTTCAATTGAAAAAGTATCAACCTTCAATAAAGTACATTCGTTGTATTATTCCTATTGGCTATTGATCTGTTGGCTGTTATTTTTGTTGTACTAAAATGTACTCTATGAAGGAAGACTAAAATCAAAGTGACTCTAAGGCTAACCGCAACCCAGTTCCGTCAATAAATCAAATTTCCCACCAATTTATACGTATTCACTCTGTCAATTTAGTTTTTACTGCAATCCAGCTCCGTCAATATATTCAACCATCAATGTTTTTTCTTTAATTAATGTCTTTCTTTTATTTTTATAAATCATTTTTTTCATTTGTTTTTGTGAATAATTATGATTTCAATAGTCGAACATTTTGATGTAAAAATAAAAAAAATTGGTGTTCAGTTTTGTCGTTGTTAATTTATAACTATTTCTGAAAATTTTTATTGAAATGTGTAAAAAAAGAATTAAACGCAACGTTTAATTTTAGCCATTGGATCTATTTAATAAAAATTGTGAACATAAAAAATCTCCAATTGATATAACTTCATATTTTTATTTCTTAAATTATATATATATATATAATATTGGTGTCATATGAAAGATAATAAAAAATTAATAATTTTGGTATCCTTTTTATAAAAATGAAAATTCAAATCAAAAAGTTATAATCCATTTAAAATATTTGGGGTTTTTAATTTACTAATCCCACATTTCTTGTAAAGCCATTACCGAACTGCAGCACACTTCTCTCTCGTGAATAAGAAGCGGAATTCCCACTTGGTCCGTGCTATCTAACGAGTTTTGATACCTCTCAATACGTGGATTGCAGCAAATCTGGGAGTGAAAGCATCAAATTTGGCTTTTCACCCTTAGGTTTGCGGGAAGCCTAATTATTGCATCTCAAAGACCTAAATAGTGTACCAATTACAGTGGCTGTGACTCTGTGAGGGCAGGGGTGGGCGTCAGCCGAGCCTATATTATTTTAGTTTTATTAGTATAGGTATGGGTTATGTTGTCAGCCCACCCCAAAATCAATTCCCGGCCCACAGCTCAGCCCAACTAACTTTATAACTTACCTGCGCTTCAACTGGCCGAACGGAAGAAAGAAAATCGAAAACCAAGAGCTTGGCAGCTTGCGACGACCGGCGGTCCAACTTGTGACCTGCGACCCTCCGCCCCCGTGCACGCCGCTACGTCGTCGGCCGTCCAGACTCCGGCGTCCTTCCTCTCCCGCCTCTCGGCTCTTCCTCAAGCTCTGGCGCAGGTGAGTTTTTTTATTTAAAATCTTATTGTATTATTTTGTGATTGTGTTAAGACTGTTAACTTTTATTATTTTTAGCCTTTAGAGTGTTAGGGTTAGTCCCTTAGTTAATCAATTTAATGATTAGTTGAATTTTTCAGTGCATAATAAAATCAAAAATGTTTGAGGTACACAAAATGTGTACACATGTCTTCTTTCACGGAAATTTTGTATGTCACAGACAACATAATTTCTGTGACAGACAAAATTTCTGTGAAGGACAGACATGTGTACACATTTTGTGTACCTCTAGCAAAACTCTAATAAAATAGGGCAAAATTCATTATAGATTTATAATGATTAAAGATGGAAATTTAAATCTTATAGAATGATTTATTGATTATACAATTGAAGAGAATGATTTATATATTTATTGTATGGGCATGTAAGAAGAAATTGAAACTTTCAATTAAATTTTGAAATTGGAAATACTTACTAGTTTTATGTACAACAATTCGTTTTTCTTTTTACTTCATAATTTATATTTCTATAGAAGTATTTTAATTCATATCAATATTGAAAATGTTTTTAGAATGGATTCTCTTAAAAGAGATTTTGTCAACAACATAGATGTAGATTCTATTATTGATAAATTTTATACTTTGAAGTCACGTAGCGCACAACTTAAGTGATGTTTTGATGAATATTTAAAGTGTTGATGACTTGACGTATTATTATGTATTTATGTATGTGTCTTTCTAATTTTTCCCTCAGCCCACCTCATTATAACTGTCTGGATCCACGCATGTGTACCATAAACTATCCACTTACGTACGTGACATGGCTTGTATTGCCTATAGACATATAGGTGTATGTAAAAGGTGGGGGGAGTGTGACTATGTATATATATATGCTATTCGCTCATCTGTTATCCATCCATCGTCTATCGATCTTCTCATCTTCTCACATAACACTTACATACGCCGGCAGCTTCATCAATTAAAAATGAGAAGTCTTTTGAGTTTTGACTCTCATCACTCTCGCATTTCTCCTACATCCCACATACCCTCAACCATGACCCCCAACATGGGACTCAATGATGTTAGCGGTGACATGGTCACCCGGTTACTGCTCAACAAACAAAGAAACCTGTGATCCACTGAAAATCAGATCTGACTATACAATCCATGGCATATGGCCATACAGTGAACGCGGATCTATGTTCATGGATCCTAATGCTCCTTTGTTTGATATGGATCCATATTGGTGTTATTATTGTTGTTAATGTAGGTATTACACTTAATTAAATTTTTTATTCAATATATGAATTTTAACAAAGAGTTCATAATTTATTGAATTGAAGGGGATTATTTTGACAGACCGGTAGCTAACCAATGAGCTAGATCTCTATTGGGTGAATTATGAAAACGGGAAGACTAACTTGGGTCTCTGGAGGCACGAGTGGAATGAACATCGTCGCTATGCCGCCTCTTTGCTACGCGAAAAGGAGTACTTTGAGAAGTTCTTCAACTCTTTCATGCGTACAATATGACTGACATTCTCATGAGAAGTTTTATTTCAGCAGGGAAGGTTTATGCCTACTAAATAAATGAGTAAATTTGGTTTTAATAAAACAAGAATGATATATACCAGAGAACACACAGATTCAAAAGTCTCGTATGTTTTACCTCTTACCTATTAAAGCATAAATTATTTACCTCTTACCTTTTCAATCCCATAAACCATCCCTACTGAAATAAAACTTCTTATGAGAACGTCAGTCATATTGTAGGCATGAAAGGGTTACGTTAAATGGTCTTCTCAAAGTACTGCTTTTCGCCTAGCAAAGAGGCTGCGTAGCGACCATGTTCATTCCATTTGTGCCTCCACAGACACAAGTTAGTCTCCCCCTTTTCATAATTCACCCAATAGAGATCTAGCTCGTTGATCAGCTGCCCGTCCTCCAAAATAATCTCCTTCAATTCAATAAATTATGAACATGTTGTTAAAATTCATATATTGAATAAAAAACTTAATTAAGTGTAATACCTACATTAACAACAATAATAACACCAATAAATATATATATACGAAGTATATATATAATGGTTACCATATCGAACAACGAAGCATTAGGATCCACGAACATTGATCCACACTCACTGTATGGCCATAGATCATGGATTGTAAAGTCGGGTTTGATTCTCTGTGGATCACAGGTGTCTTTGTTTGCTGAGCAGTAGCCAGGTGACCATGTCAATGCTAACATCATTGAATCCCATGTTGGGGGTCGTGGTTGAGGGTATGTGGGATGTATGAGAAATGCCAGGGTAGTGATGAGAGTCAAAAGACGACTTCTCATTTTTGGTTGATGAATTGAAGTTGACGGGTATGTATGTGTTATGAGGGAAGATCAATAGATGGATGCATCAACAGATGAGCGGATAGCATACATATATACACAGCCACACTCCCCCACCTTTTACGTACACCTATATGCAGGGCGGATGTGGCATATAAGCCAGGTAGGGCCAAGGCCCAACCTCAAAAAAATGTTATTAGTATATATACTCCCTCTATTCTTTATTAATAGTCCTCCATTCCAATTTGGTCTATTTTTTTTATTTGCCCTCCTTTCCATTTAAGGAAAGTTTTTGAGAAAATACTCCCACTTTTATTATTTTTACCCCACTTACTTTTTACAAACTACTTTCTTTTTTCTACTTTATCATTACTTTACTCTTCTTAATACACTCTCTTTCCTACTTTATATTTTGTAATGCATACTTTGTTTTGAGCCTGCGATCCCACATTTTGCCATATGTGGCCCATGATTGAATATTTCCTCTATTCATTCAATCTAAATACTGATGTTGTTATGTATGTTTACGTACTATGTATGGTATGAACAATGTTCATGGGCGCCTTGCACAATCGAGTGAGTGTGACTCGTGGATGACATCACTTGATTGTACGACAGTTGTACACGGTCTAGGTGCGGTTTGGAGCGTGACAATGGGTGCAGCTGCGGACGCACGGGCTTTGGGACAACAACAGCACCGCGGCATGGCCGGGAACGGCTGCGTCCGGTAAACATGGAGACAGCGGCAGCGCAGGCATGTGGACGGCCTGCGGCAAAAGGGCATGGGGACTGCGGCGACGCGTGGGGACGGCCACGGCGATGGGGGAGACAGATGCTGCGACGGCGGGCTAATTTAATGACTAGATGTTTTAAGAAATGAGTAGGAAGTTAGTGTTTTATAATATCCATTTAAGGGCATCTTAGTCCATAAAAAATGTATTTATTCATTAAATATTAAATTAAATATTACTCCGTATGAATTTAACTACTAGTATTATTTCGGGGAAAAAACTAATGAGGTCATAGGATGCGAATGTGGACGAGTTTTAGTTAGAGTAATTTTTTTTCACTTTAATTGCATTTCAAAGACCTAAAAAGTAATTAAAGTGTATTGTCAGTTTAGGCCGCACCGTATTTGAAGCACCAAAATAGGCAATCATCTGCCATATGTAAGAACATATACATGTGTGAATATTTAATGCAATTATTTATCATTATTTAATGTTTTAATTGTAAAAACATCACTTTAACAAAGATTTGTTGATTGGTGACCGCTTAACCATCCACATCTACCCTATATATTGTTACATATACCATGTGTTATGTTGATGACTTGATGTGCACAGGCACATACAGAAACCATGTCACTAGTGAGTATTTCAATGATCCAGCATTTTAAATGCACACACACACCTATACATTTAGACCGATTTTGGACCAAATGAACGAATTGCTTGAGTTTGTGATGTTTAGACTTTAGAGTTTTTAGACTTTTTACGAATAGAACTATAGAAGTATTGGGATTTTATGGCCGAGTCAATTTTCAAATTTCTCACCCGATTAGCTAAACGATCTTTTTATATCTCATCTATGGATGGACCCGGGCCGGTTCGGGCCCGGTTCGGGCCTAGGCCCGGCCGGGCCTCGGGTCTGTTTTGTTGGGCCCGAGCCCGAACCGGTGGCCACCGGTTCCGGGTCCGGTTCCGGGCCGGACCGGGCCGGGCCACCCGGTTAGTTTATTATTTTTTTTTTTCTTCCCCCCCCCCCCTCACCCCCCACCCCCCCAAACCCCCAAACCGGTCCTAAACATCAAGCCCAACTCAATAAAGCCCAAAAAAATGAAAAAATAAAAAAAAAAACAATTTTTGGCCCGGGCCCGGGCCCGACCCGGCCGGGCCGGTTCGCCAAATACAAGGCCCGAGCCCGGACCCGCCCCCCCCCCACCGGGCCTAGGCCCGACCCGGACCCGGACCCGAGAACCGGGCCGGTTCCGGGCCCGCACAGTGGCGGGCCGGGCCAGTCCCGGGCCGGGCGGCCCGAACCGGGTCCATGCCTAATCTCATCAGTGAGAGCACTTTTGAATTTTTGTTGAGTCAAAGAGGAATGTAATTACTGAATCCGAGTGTGATGTACTATTGTGATATCTATTTCCCTTTTAAAAAATAAAAATGTACAACCATGTCCCCAAAAGATAAGACAATTTTATTTTTCTTAATCAATGATGCTAAAGTTTAAACAATGAATTTAGGTATTATATTTCTCTGTAATTTATAAAATTTATATTTTATGATTTTTTTTAAATAAAGTATATATTCATTTAATTTTCATATTTTAAATAGTTTAGTTTAATAGTTTTAAAAAATATCTTCGTGTTTGATCACTATTGAGTATTGACCAAGAAAAGTCCATTGGACCATTTTTTTTGGACGGAGAGAGTAATTTATTATAATATAAAAGCAAAATATTTTTGGGGTTGCGTTCCCACTCAAAAACATCAATATCAGGTGGTCAACTTCCTAAATTGGAAATAAATATAAATGGTGAAAATAAATAACCATAAGTAAGCGAGATTCGAGAATGGCTGGATAATGTTTGGGGTGGGGAAGATTTACGGGCCACTATTACATTCATGGTTACAATGTTGCAATTCCTAACTTCCTAAGGTAGTCCCAATTCAATGTATTTTGGAAGTCCACACAATTGTAGGACATGGGGTTATAAGTGGGTTAAACACTATCTCCTAAGGGTGGGCGGGGACGGGATGGTTCGGGATTTGACTTATCCCGTTCCCGACCCGGTATTATAATAACGGTCCGGTATAGTTCGGGATAAGCCATTATCCCAATGTTGTCCCATTTAAAACGGGACCGGGACATCTCGAGAAAAACCAGGACGGTTCGGGACGTCCCATAAAATATACATTTGTGAAATGTGATATAATAATAAGCATAACATGAAAATAAAGATGTAACTATTTTTAAAAATTTAGTTTATCTAAAAAGTTAAGTAAAACCTCTGATTAACTATTTTTATTTATTGCCTTACTAGACTAATGACCCGTGCGTTGCACGGGTGGCATCTAGAGCACGGTAATAAATTATTAAAATATGAAAAACACTATAGGTTCTAACATAATTTATAGAAATCTAGAGCTTGTATAGGATGTAGGGAATTAAAAAATAAAATATATTACCTCCACGAAAAAGTGAGATAGTTATTATTAAGAAAAATAAAATTATGCATGTGATTAGTGGTGAATTTGAAACGTGTAAATAACGAATGAATCAGTACTACATACGTATTACTAAATGGAGCATCTGAGAAATTTATTGAGGCAAACAAAATAGGAAAAGTAGGTAAAGGTTTTTGGAAATGTGAGTAATTAATTACATGGTGTTAAAGTGTTTTACTGTTTTCGTAAGAGTAGACCAATGGAAGAAAGTGAAAGTATAATGTCATCTAACTAAAAATAGAGTCATGTAACATCATTTGGTTAGCATTTTTGAAGTGTTGTGTTTCGTTAGTCAGTTCATTCAAAAGTTTTAAAAATTTACCTCCATTATTTTGAGTGATTGAAGAAAACCATCTTAGTTTTTGAAAAAACTCTCTTTGTACTTCAATTTTTAGTGTTGATAATGTGTGATCATCATTTTCATATAAAAATATTAACTCACTCATTGACAACTCTGGATATGACAACATACAAATAAGTTTGTATAAAAGAGAATTTAGCAAATACGGAGTATACATTAGTGAAGTTTTTTAATGTCAAATGTCCTTGATATAGGTAGTGTCGTTAGTCTTTCGTATCATAACTTCAATTTTGTGTCGATTTGTCGATCTCAATTTTGATGTTGAATTTTATTTCATGTTCGTCATATTTCATAAAAAGTGTAAGGTTAATTTATTTCAAATATATCTTGTAAATGGTATATCATTTAGAATTATTTTTAGTGATACACCAATATATGACCGAATTTTTTTAGGTCAAAATCATTTATTGACCAGAATGACCAACTATAATTACCTCCTAATCTGACTCAAGCAGATAATATTTTTAAAATAAAATTGACTCTAATGTATTGAAATTCTTTATTCCTTATTAGGCGTTTTTTTAAATTCCGTGAAGGCAAATGTATATGGACTTATTGTAAGAATGACCAACAATAATTACCTCCTAATCTGACTCAAGCACATAATATTTTTTAATTTATAACTTTAAAAATTACCAAATTAGTGTCTCTTACTTTACAGAAAATTACCCATTGCATGTGGACTTAGGATGTTTTCTTTTAGACAGAGATTTGTCAGTCTGGTCTGATATAGCCTGGTCTGATCTGGTCTGAACTGGTCTGGTATGGTAAATGTCTGATCTCTGTGTATTTATAACTAAGAAAGTCTGGTCTGGTCTGACTTGGTCTGGTGTGATCTGGTCTGGTCTGATCTGGTCTAGAACTGAAAATAGTCCAAAAGAAAACATCCTTAGGATGTTTTCTTTTAGACTGAAAATTGCTGGTCTGATCTGGTTTGGTAAATGTCTGGTCTCTGTGTATTTTATAATTGCGAAAGTCTGGTCTGGTCTTGGACTAAAAACAGTCCAAAAGAAAACAGTCTTATAATGAAAATGTAATTAAATGTTTCTAGATATTGGGAAATATTTTCGAAATAATTACATATACATGACTAAGAACATTTTCAATGCTACAATGTGTACAATATACATGTTGAATACTTGAATGAGAGAGATAGACACAAAAATATTAATGAGCAATTTATATCTCTTCTTGTTTGAATTGTTTTGTTTGTTTTAATAAGTTTTTCTCCACAAATTTATTGGCATAATTACATAATTTAAAATACTCTAAGTTTTTTATGAGTGCTGTTACCATATTAAAATTTAATTAGTGAAATAAATAATATTACATCCGGTATAATTTCATTTTAGTTGCAAATCATAAATATTTTGTGTATTTTAAATTATGTACTTAACACCATAAAATTATATTTGTTTATAATATCATATGATCATGTTGCTAAAACATGATCATATATGTGTCGTATGATCGTGTTTAAACATGATTGCCTAACAATATCCCACCATGTTTAAAACATTTATTTACTTACCTTACATGTAGTAATAATGGACGGCTAGGTTAAATTCCAATTTTATATGAAAATGTGCAGCAATTTTCTCTCGAGAAATTGTAGCAACCCTGCATTCCATATTTATACTCAAATATTATGGAACCGTCTTATTTTATGAAATAATTGAAATATTTTACCATTTAATAATTATAGTAGTATACTCTGTAATAAACTTTATGTCCTAAATTAGTTCCGGCTATTATTTTACACATGTACGTAGTATATTTTAAATGCACTCTTTTTTGTTTCTTTCCATTTCTTGTACTTACCTTATATTTTTGGCTTACACAATATGGAGCATTATTGGAGCATTCTTAAGCATTTAGTGTCCTAAGTTTTGACAATGAATACATTTGGCCGGGATTTCTCTAAAGTGCATTGCTAAGCATTAATTCCCTATTATGGGTTTAATTTGGGCGGAATTTTTCCCTCCAATTGTTGTGCACAGACTGTTACTTTATATTATATACAGATAACTTTTTTTGGTCCCCCCTAATCTTATGTTTCCTCGTAGAATAGTAGCGCAAAATATTTTTATACTTTGTAGTACAGTTGTAACTTTTCAATATCACATTAAATTAAATATTATATCTTCAAGGACTATATATATTTACTAGTTGTTATTTTGGAAAATATTAAATCTATAACAACACTATATTTTGGAGTAGTTGTTATTCCATCATAATAATATTCCGCACGTAATAATATATTACGGAGTAGTATCGGAATGAGAACTAAAGAAATTCAATCAAAAGAAACAAAAGAAACGAGACGAAGAGAGAGATGAAATACGATAAAATGACATTAGATAAGGAGACTAAGGGCTAGAATGTTTTAATTGGGTTTGACTTTTACATATCATTAGAAATTTAAAATAACTACTATTTTCAAATGGGACACCGGGACGGGACATGATATTCTATAGCTATCCCGGTCCCGTCCCGGTTAATATCGGTACGGGACTGGTTCGGGATGAAAAAATTGCATCCTAGTGGATCGGGATATTTCGGTTTGGGACACCGGGACCGGAATTTTTGCCCACCCGTACTATCTATCTCCAGAGTCCAGAGTAGCTCAAATAATTTATGTGAGAAACATTCTCAAGTTGC